GTCATCGAAACCACTTCGCCTTGCTCTGTCAGATACGCCGAGATGATCGTGCGACACTGGGTCAACAAGTGACTTGCGAACGGCGGTCACTTCTGTCTCGGGACCTGTTTGGCGACTGTTGATGGACAGTGGCCACTTTACTGACAACGTCGAAATCACATATACGGGACACTCGCTAACGGCATGATCGAAGAGGCGTCGACCGCGAATCGACATCACGGCCCAATTATGCTCCACCGTAATTAGTGTTACGTTACACTAGGCACCTTGTCGAGCAAATTCCGAAACCGTTGTGACAGCCTGGCTGCGGAATGTGTTTAAACAATAAATCCTACGCAAATTGTTGAACCAAAATTTGGTACATTTCGCGAAATGGTGGGTAAAACGTTAAAGTCATTCTAGACGCTTATGTTCAAGTACTGACGGTGGGATTCGTGTTGCGTACTCAGCGACTTCAAGGTCTTCTTTTCCATGGAAGTGTCAAAGATGTTACGTGCATTTATTGGATATGAGGTTAAATAAATCAGCTTATGATCTTTACTGACATATTATTTACTGAATGACAGTTGAGAAAAGGGTCACGTTTCCTGATTCAGTGACCTCCTACTAAAAGAATTCAGTATGTATGTATCCATCGAAGATATATCTATTTCTTCTTGTAGATGACAGGGCGAATCAGAAATAACTGTCTTCTAAGATCTTACACGGTACGACATCCGTAAAAATTTTTAAAAACTGGCTTACGAGAAAAATGGTTCATACACTTCGACAACTTTATTTGCTGGAACTCATGAGTGCATATCGAGACCAGTAAAAAGGTCCAGCCGTAGTGGACCACATCACGAATAGTGAGGCCACAGATAGACGTCAAAAGCAATCCAACTGTGACCTTCAGCTCGAGGAAACTGCGAACTAGTGTCACGATGTTCGACGTAGATCATTTCGAGTACTTCGGAATTGTGTTGGTTGATGATGGTTGAGTCACGAGTGAATTTGAGTATCGAACTGGCACGAGTAGATTACGTCCAGCTGCATGAAATATGTATGGAAGGATGTAATCTAACAACGAACATGATGGTCGCCATTCTGAAAACGGGGCGTTTTTATAGTCTCGAAACTTCTGGAAGCGTCACGAAACTCATCGAGAGAGTTTCGTTTCCAGCAGCATTGTCGCGAAGTATCCTCCACATGCAATGGTACCACTGGATCAAGAACGATCATGTGCTCAAGACGACTGGCTTGACCAATTATCGGAGGAACTTAGAGGCTGGCGCAAGGCTTGGTTTGACAAAACGATGTGAAATGAAGAGAACGGAAATGTTTTCAAAACCTTTTTCGTCTGTCTCGTCTCCCGTAGAACTAAGCTTCACGTGCCTCATGGCTTGCCTCAATCGAACATCATACAAATCTGTCGTCACCCGCGTTACAGCGAGCCGTGCAGACTGTAGGAGAACTCAGGCAGACTGCGAAAATAACCACGACCAGAACCCGTTTTCTTGTAGCAGGGTGACAGCGCCAGAAGATCAACCCCAGAGAGAGATGAAGATACCAGTCTGCAACTTAAAGGGGGTGAAATACGATAACTCGGTTCCTTTACAACACGTCAGACAAATTTCCATGGGACTCTGCCCAAAGTAAGAGCTCAGAGTCAGAAATCAGAACTGCTCCTCACTCAGAGGGAAAGAGCAGTGGCTATTTCATGAAGCCGCAACGTACCAACTAGATATTGCTTGGTTCTCGTGAGTGAAGCGTTAGGGCTCTTGAATTCTGAACCGCTGAGGTGGAAGTTATTCTACAAAGATGTCGACTCAACGATCAGCGCTCACACTGATGATGATGTCCTGGTAGAGACCAACCTGGCTGACATAGTTATTGAATGCAAGCCTGTCAGCGAAAGAGTGGCAATCGTCCGATTGAAGTTGCAATAAGCTAAGTATCTGACCTTGTTACAAGTCTGTGTACCCAATTCTGAGAGAAATGAGTCCTTCCTGGAGGAAATAGAACATT